TGTGACCTCTTTGTTTCCTTTTTGTTAAAGAAGAAACAGCTGTTAATTAAATTGGTGAATCTTCTTTCAGCTTGAGGGTTTCAACCTGCAGTCTTTAGAGCTGTCTGGAAATATTAACATTCAGCAAATTTGGCACAATCGGGTTCCAGAAATGTCTTCTCTTGTTCGAAATCTAAAAGTGTGTATTGTGAGGGGCTGTGGTAGTTTAAAATATCTATTGACGTCCTCTATGGTTAAAAGTTTAGTGAATCTTGAAGGCCTCCTTGTTGAGAATTGTAAGATGATGGAAGGGGTAATAGTCCCAGAAGAAGGATTTGCAGAAGAAGTCACGACCCAGAAGATATTTTTTCCTAATTTGGAAGCCTTGGTACTTGGTGACCTTCCCAAACTCACAAGATTCTGTTCTGGAAATTACATCCAATTCCCTTGCCTTACAAGACTTTTAATAAGAGAATGTCCTCTATTGAAGGCGTTCACCTCTAGCCCTGTTATTGGAGACATAGTAGTCAGTACAGAGAAAGCTGAAAACACCTGCACACCACCTCTATTTGACGCAAAGGTAATTTCTTCTTATTGTTTTTCCCTGTCTTACATTAATATTATTATAGTTTCACCTCTTAAAGCCTTTCCTATTTTAATTGGATTCTAAAGTTGAGTTTTTGTCTTGCTTATACTGATAAGTTATTACTGCAATCGATAAATTATTTAGGTGGCCGTCCCTGTGCTAGAGACACTAGTAATTGATCACATGGAGAGCTTGGACAAGTTATGGCACAACCAGCTTGATGCAGAATCATTTTGCAAATTAAAAGACCTTCACGTAATTGGCTGTAAAACACTAGAGAGCATTTTCCCATTTAGTATGCTGGAAAGGCTTCAAAGACTAAAACGACTGGTCATTAGGAAATGTGATTCACTAGAAGAGATATTTGAACCTGAAGGACATATTGCTAGCTATTCACAAGCACTGGTAGCCAGTCAGCCAACTTTGGTAGAAGCTGAAACCAAGTTGGTACTTCCAACATTGGTAGAACTGTGGCTTGAAAGCCTACCCAAGCTCAAGGGTTTTGCCATCCAATACACATTAAATGTCCATCTCTGAAGAAATTGGAGGTGGATGGATTCCAGCAACTAGAGATATTTGCTTTTGAATTTCCAAGCTTCCAAAGTACAACTAGTGATCACCAACTTGAGACTCGACAATATCCTCTTTTTTGGATCAACAAGGTACGAACTCTAAATATTTTACAATAATAAGGAGAAATCCCTTGTGCATGCGTGAGATGCACTATATTTCTAGTAAAGCTTTTGGTCTGAACATATTCAAATCGAGCAAAATGTATAAGCCACATGGT